GTATTTATAACAAGTTGATGGTTAGAGGGTTCAACGTGCTGGTATTTATATTCACTTATAATGCAGTAAAGCACGAAGTTTCTAAGCTTTTCTTGGTTAAAAATATTTTGTCTGCCTTTAAAACTGAGGTACTACCCTGAAGAATACTGCTCCTGACCTGAAACATAGGATTATTAATGACTAAATTGTACAAAAAAAAAAGTTTCAAAGTAAATGTTGCTGAATATCATACTGGATTTGTAGAATGAATGTAATTAGTAACTAATTTTATAAAGTTGGAACAAAAGTATTATACATTGATTACTTAGTTTTGGAGAAAAAAAAACATTTCTCATTCAAGTGATAACACTTACACTGACATGGTGAGTTTCAGCTACCTGTAGCACAAACACGTTATCAAGCTTTAGAAGATGTTATTTAATACATGCACACAGAAATACGAGTATGAAACAACAGGAAAGCTTTGACATAGAAACAGTAATTCTGGTCAATATTGGATAGTGGTTGGCTGTTAGTTAACGTACTAGAACCATGTGCTGTAACTTTCCAAATTACTGAATATGAAGTGTTTTGGTATTTAGTTTACAGTATATACATGTCACATACTTATCTAATAATAGTTTGTGTAGCAAAATCAGATTTTAATGAAATTGCTTTACAGTTTTAGCTGGAAGAGCACAAAGTTAAGTCTTATTAATACAAGAAATTTTGATTTTTAGTTCAAGGTTTGAATGAACACAAAAATACAGTGCAATTGATCCAAAGTTTTGGTTAAGGCAAATATTTCTTTATTACAGAAATTGATCTCAGTTCATTAAAAATACAGTCTATAAAATTACTCAGTAAATGACTTACGTATTTTCTGTTTGATACTGTTGACCCAACTGTAACTTAAATTTTTCTTTCAAGGAGTTCTGCAGTGTCGAAATTGAGATAAATTTTATGAAGCTGTATAAAGTATATACTTTAAAAATTATTTTTATAATAATAGGAAGCTTGATAAAATAAATCTGTCTGTTCCAAACCACGAAGTGAAACCTTTGTTAAAACTAATCAGTATTGTTTTTTTTTCAGCCACACCAACAATCTGTTAGTAGGTGGTTAACAACTTAACAGTTTTCTTTTTTTCAAATCTAACTTATAAAACAGTGAAAGACACAGTTACATATTTTTTGACTATTACCAAAGCTTTATTTACAAAATAACTAGCATTACAGTTGAACATACATTTATTCATGAACCATCTCTGAAAGCTAAAGCTGTTAAAGCTTTTTGGTGACCGCTATATTCTCGTTTCACTTCTCCTGTGGAAACACTCCAGAGTCGCGCATGACTGTCAGAATGAGCTGTAAAAATATATCACTTGGTTCTTATAGAAGATTATTACAGAAACGGAATGTCACATTTTTGTTTATTTATTATTGCAAGGAAAGCATTAATCTTTTCCACTGCTCTGCCAAAAAGTGCATCAAGAAGATTGTTCACATTTTTTAAATATACATATTAAACACTTTCCTTCAACATCTTGCTACATTGTTTAGTATTTACAACTAGACTTGATAGGAGAAGGTTTAGTGAATGATGTTTATGTTCCTCACTCGTACTTTTTAGTGTTTTACGAGTTCTCCTAGTAACTGGACAAGAACAGTACGACACTTGTTAGATGAATCAGTTTTAAAAAAATGATAAATTGTTTGGTTATTACCAACCAAGTGATTTTCACATCTCCAACACTTACCTTCCTTTCAGAAACAAACTTTTATTTAGTTGTTTGTAAAAATTAAAAGGTTCGTGTATAAAACAACATGCACGTTGAACAATGTATTTAAACGGGAAAGGAGAAAGAAAATAGTTATATTATTTCTCTATCTATTGGTACTTGAAAACTTTTCTTACCTGTCAAAACATACTGAGAGTCTGCACTAAACGCTACGTCCCATACCCACCGCTGGCCTTCTTCCTTCAACTCTACTAAAGGCATTGCTTCCTGAGTGTACCAGCCTTTTCCAGTTTGAGATTGTACACTATTGCTCCATTCTTGTTGCGTTTCATTCTGATTTTTAATTCCAAGGAGTTCGGTAATTCTCCAGATCTTGGCTGTACTGTCAGCAGATGTTGTTACAAGTAATCTGAACAAGAAAAGATTCATGGCATCAATCTTATGAAATTATGCTTTGAACTCGTATCATATACTCTAAACAAGCTATGGACTTACCTAGTGGTTGATGCGTAAACAACAATATTATGTACAAAGACTTCAAATCTACACTCCTCCCATCGAACTACTAAACATTAATAAAAGTAATTTGTTTATAGTATGCAAACATAGAATATAATTTCGACCTTATAAACCAATTTATTTGACACATGGTTTGATTATAATTTCTGCTAAAGCTACATACTGAGAGTCTGGACTGAACTTGCACTTCAAAGCGTATATCTTGTGCGCCAGGAGTTTAAGTTTTCTTTGAGGTTGAGAAGTACGACTTTCATTTTCGCTGTGAAGACTGTAGATATAACAGTTTCCCTATCAAAAAAAAATTCATATTATTACAAAAACTAATAGTCTTAACTGGTCATGATCAGCAGAGGTCCATCCTCTGTGGGCCTATCTTATAAGTAATAAAATTGTGAAATACAAATGTGTAATATTTGTGTCTAAAATATTTTTACACGTATCCTTCAGTCTTCAAATTTAAAATAGGATAAGTTTTAAAATGTCAAAATTATGAAAATATCTTTAAGGTCTAGAAGATATACATCTTCATCCAACAGATAGCAATGGTCAATATAGAAAAATGTCTTAACTCGGGGCTCAGACCAATTACCATGTTAAAGATGTCGTACTATTTCCAAAGTGCTATCATTTGGAAGGATAATTTGAGTTTCTGAAATTAAAAACAAATTAAAATATTTTTTGAATATTTTCTACATATGCATGAAAGTGAATTTTTTCTGAAAATAACTGACCACAAGAGCTTATTATAAAGAAAAATGTATTCAGTTCTTATTCTCAAACTAACGAGTGGAGTAAAATTTACCTTGTTATCAACCACGGCCAGGTACTCTCCTTCCGAGTTTATGTGCAAGTGTTGGATTGAGATGTCTACATCAGCTACCTGCGACATTCACATAAAATAGTATAATATATTAAGGCTAATGTTAACTATTTCTGTTTGACTAAGCTGAGACTAACAGACTCCTCCTTAAGTTGTTCAAGATTTAAACAGCTTGAGTGACTTGTCACTCTTCTTGAAATTTAAATGTAGTTTGTCTAAAGATAATTTTCATCTTACTATATGCATTTTCTTTTCAAGAGTAATGTTTGTTGCCAAAGTTACAATTAAATATTCACACATCAAAACAGCAACAAATTGATTACCAACTTGCTCTGAATTTATCCTAAAGTCTCTCAATTCTGGAAGGTATTTCAATTATTATTTGTTGTTTTCTTTGTATTGTGTTAAAACTTATTTTTTTTACACATGTTTAATGTCTTAAATAGGCTTGGAATTTTATTGCATCTGGGAAAAATAAATGTTAATGTGATACAATGATAGAAAAAAAAAGATACCAAACTTGTAACATCTATAACCAACAGATATCAGAATACAAAACTGCATACCAGAAATATAAACAATAATGGATAAGAGCAAAAAGAAACTCAAGACAAGCTTTACTTTCAAAGTTAAACTAGCTTGTTATACACTGTTACACGAGTTGTTTTTACGGTTTCCCCATAACTGTCCAGTTAAACTAGCTTGTTATACATTGTTACACGAGTAGTTGTTTTTAAGGTTTCCCCATAACTGTCTAGAAGAAGCCTAGTATGCAGAAAGCAACACAAAAATAAATCTTCATATTCTTTATTATTATTCAGAACTATTTCTGAAAATATAATTACATAAATTAGTTATGACTGTGCAAAAAAGTAAAAAAAACTACATTTTCTACAACTGATAATCTGAAAAAAAAAATATGTTCATATGTTTAGATGGAAAGCTTGAAGACCCTGAGAACATCAGTTTACACAGAGTTCAATTCTGGGAAATCATGATTCTATAAACTACAGCAGTAATTTTAAAGTAGGATTGGCTCACGCTTAGGAATTATAAATCTCGAAATATTCAATTAGGTAACTAAGTTTTAAAATCCTATGTTAGAATTAAAATTTTCAACATGAACATTTGCTCGTAATTAGAACAAATATAAAGGTTTACATAATATACAGACGTACGACATAGGCCATCTACACGAGTTATTTCTATGTAATTCATATTTGTACAATATCTTGAATACTTCCAAACACTCACCAACTGTTCATTGTGATCGGTTCTTAAATCCCAGACATGTATTAAACCATTTTGATCACCAATGAAAAGTTCTCCCTGATTAGGGTGAAGACAAACAGTGTTGACAGGATGATTAGCTTGGAAAATTCGCTGACACTGAACGTTCTTTGATCTTTAAAAGTTAGAAAATAACAATCAGAATCTAAGCCTAAATATCTTCACTAACTTCAGAACAAACCTATTTACCATCTACACTAGTCATTAGAATCATCTAAATACAATGTGTGGTTTTTAATATTTTACATTAAACATTGCATACTATTAAAGTTACATTCTTTCTTCAAAATCAATTAACTTTTCATGGTGTAGATGCTCAAAGATTTTGAAATGAGAAGCAAAAATATATGTGTTTAAACATGTTACCTTTACAAACAAATAGTGTTAGCTAGATAGAAATAATAAAAGTGGAGTAATGAAGTGTCTGGTTGTTCCCTACAATTTTTGTTGAAACATGTTACCTTTACAAACAAATAGTGTTAGCTAGATAGAAATAACAGAAGAAGGTGAGTAACGCAGTGTCTGGTTGTTCCCTACAATTTTTGTTGAAACATGTTACCTTTACAAACAAATAGTGTTAGCTAGATAGAAATAATAGAAGAAGGCGAGTAACGCAGTGTCTGGTTGTTCCATACAATTTTTGTTTATGTCCATTGAACTATCCAGAAATTAAGTGTTGTTTTTGGTTTAAAACTTACTACAAGAATTTGATGATAAAGAACAATGCAAGCTTTAGTTCTCGTTAGGGACTTTATATAAAGGTCTTACAGCACGGCCACCATTTATATCTAATAAATATATAGTACATTTAACTTCATTACTCTTAAACGATTCTTTGTAGCAACTAAGTCTAGTTACCTAAGGTCCCAAATCTTGGCATAACAATCATCCCCTCCAGTAAACATGAATCTTCCTTCTTCTTGAAAACCGACAGCTGTAAAGTTCCTGGTCGCTCCTTGTCCGCCTTCATAGTTGATCACTGGGCTTGGATTGTTGGAATTGATGTCGTACATTCTTACATGTTGGTAACCTACAAAACATGAGTGCCTACATTTTACATTTAAAAGAGAATACCAGTCAATATATGTGTGTCTAATCTGCTATTTCTACCTCATTATCAAGTTGTTAAATTGGATATTATTTCGTTTACTTGTGTTATTCATCTTCCCTTCTTGACAGAAATCTTGACTGTTCAGAAGGAAATTAGATCATCTGAGAACTTATCAATCACACACTTTTGATCCTCACAATCACATGCTTATGTACACTGTTATTGCCTATTTTACCCAAGATCCTCACAATCACATGCTTATGTACACTGTTATTGCCTATTTTACCCAAGATCCTCTCAATCGCATGCTTATGTACACTGTTATTGCCCGTTTTACCCGACATCCTCTCAATCGCATGCTTATGTACACTGTTATTGCCCGTTTTACCCGAGATCCTCTCAACCATATGCTTATGTACACTGTTATTGCCTGTTTTACCCGAGATCCTCTCAACCATATGCTTATGTACACTGTTATTGCCTGTTTTACCCGAGA